TCAGTTTCTGGCTCCGAAAGGAAAAGATGTACATTGCATCTTCTACATAAAATCAACTACCCTAGCAATTTAGCCAATGAGAGACCACCATTACCCTGAACGCCTTCTTTTCTCCAATGGACTTTTGTCCAAAACAATCCCTCCCAAGGTCCTCATTCTTCTCCATAAAATAACGTTCCTCTCCTTTGGTGGATTTCTCTATGGTTTTGCTGCAGCTTGCATGTCTGCAATTGCAGTTCTCTGCTATTCCTAAATAAACCCATTTTCCTTAATAAAAAACTCACTGCTTTATTTTTAAGCCTAACATTACATGGTGTCAGAGAAGTGGGATCCAGAGAAGATCTAAAACTTTGAGGTGGGTGAGCAAACAGGTGCCAGTACCCAAGAGCCCACGGAGCCCATTGCTTCTCGTTGGCCCTGGAGTTTAGGACTAAATGCTTCTTGGATTTCAAACTTGGCTCGGTGTTTTGAGTTCTCTAGGTTATGTGAAATCTGTTTTAAGGCTTTGTCCTGTCTGAGCGTATCTGCTTGGCCTTTGGTTTGATTCTTTCTTGTAACCATGCTGCTCCTATTGAAACTGTGCTGGCCTTTGGTCCAATTCCTTTTTGGAGCTGGGCTGCTCCTATTGGAACTGTTCCCTGAAGGAGTTTTTCTTTTTTGCTCATAAGGAAAACCTCTAAGAAATGGGATTCCAGTTCTGGGGGTCCCCCTGCTGCAGGTACCGCAGCTAGTTTTATGCGTAAAAACTGTGGTCTCTCCTCATGTACATTTCTACTAAATGGACTGGCTTAACCAAAAGTAATTTAGAACACCAATGGCCATTATGGGGAACTTTCAATCTCTCCAAACTTACTTTTCTCAAAACTGAACTGGATAGCCATGGCTCTAAAATTGTCGAAACTAGGCACAGGATGCTTATTTCGATTGGTAGTTTGAAGCTTCCAAATGTTGCACAGAATCTAAAATTGCCTCTCTGCAAAATGCAATTTCTAGACTAAACTGAGGCAAGCAATTAAGACAAAAAAGACTTCTAAAGGCCTTTCGGTTCCCTCCCCGCTCCTTTGTCTCCAAACTCACAGTAGCTCCATAATGCTCAGGCCCCACCTGTGGTACTATCATCTACCACTACCTCCACTTCCTCTGTGCCCTCCAGGTTCCCCATCCAAACTCACTCCACCTTCCCTTTTCTCCCTTCTACCCCTCTTCCTCTTCCTCTGAACCTATCAGAAGCTGCCCCTTTAAAGTTAAGTCTTCCTAGGATCCAAATAAGCCCCAAGTTTCTTATGTTCCCTGGACGAAAGCTGAATTACGAGCCATAATTAGAGTTTCTCAGGACCCCCATTGGTTTGCTGAAGAATTTTAACATAGTTATTCAAACTTACCAAACTGGTTTCTCAGATTTATATCAATCAATCTACATGCTTGTTGGTGTAGGCCAGGCTGGATGAAACTAGCCCAATGGAAACATCCTGAACAGGATTTAGAAAAATAAGCCCTTAACTTTAGGCAAAATATTAGAACACTCACTGGAAATGTCCACCGAGCAATACCAGTAGCTTTCCCTAAGCCTGTTGACCGGAACAAAAGTCAGGCCTAAACACAAAAGCCTGATGAACCTGTTCGTGGTTATTACAATTGACTCTAAATTGTTTTTAAAGAAAATCATGGTCTCTCCTTAGATGTTGGATCCACTAGGGTAACATGTGACTCTGTTTACTAATGGGCTGAACTGGGATTGTTTTTTCTTTTACTTAAAAGGACCAGGATGGAATGGGAAACTATGTCCCCTGCAGATGTAGTTAGTCTGATAAAGTGGCCCCCTTGCGCCCTAGATGAGTCACTTGAAAGAAGGACCACTAAAATTCTCAGTTTTCAACTATGGCAAATGAAAGCCCTTAAACAAACCCCCAAGTGTTGCTATTACTGCAAAGGGCCAGGACACTGAGGAAAAAAAGGGTCGTTTAAATGTCAGCCCTCCAGGCACTTTCAGACCTTTAGCCAGACCTTCCAGTGTCTGCCCAGCTCCCAGTGATGCAGCTCTGAGGATCTGTGGGGCTTTCCAAACCCTACTTCTTAATCAGCTCAGAGAAGCCACTCTGAAGATTGGAAATAAATCTCTTTCTGTCCTTATTGATACTGGGGTTACATTTTCAGTGCTCAGGTTCCTATCTCTGAGCCTCTTCCCTTTTGTTTAGGACCTTTGAGAGATACCTACTCTTTTCTCCATAGTTGACTCTCCCTCTGTTCGTATATGGGGCCAAGATTTCTTAGAAAAATATCAGGTGGGAATTTCTTTTTCCCCAAATGGGGAACCAATTCTAGAATTTGAAGGTTGCAATCAAAAGAGCCAGTCAAGTGTATTAAATGACCCTTCAACATCTTTTATTTGCTTCATTGTTGACAGTACTATAGCTGAGTCTGGGGACACCCATCATTAGTCCCTCTTAGATCAGCTACTGTCCTCTTTATGGGCAAAATCTTGTACTGATATTGGCAGAATCTACAGTGCCTACCTCACTTGTCCCACCTGTCCAAAACACAACCCAGGGAAGCCCATGAGCACTGCTCCCAGACACTTTAATTTACCTAACAGGCCATTCGAGGTTTGGCATATGGGTTTCATATAGCCTCTCTTGTCTCACATAAATGTTTTAGTCATAGTTTCTATGTTTTCTTACTGGACTGAAGAGATAGTCACAGGACATCCAGTGTCTCTGGCCCCTGCCTCCTTTGAACCACAGTTGAAAAAAGGAGATGTACTTCAATATGGTAAAAACTTAATAATTTCTATTAAAAATAACCATGCTCTGAAACTAAAGGAACAAAACAGCAGCAGACTCACAGACTCCAAGAAGGAACTAGAAGTTACCAAAGAGAAGGGGTTGGGGAGGGTGGGACAAGGGGATTAAGGGGCACTATAATTAACAATCACAATATAGGTAGGTCACAGGGAAGGCAGTACAGCACGCAGAAGACAAGTAGTGACTCTATAGCATCTTACTATGCTGATGGACAGTGACTGAAACGGGGTGGGGTGGGGGACTTGATAATATGAGTGAATGTTGAAACCACAATGTTGCTCATGTGAAACCTTCATAAGATTGTATGTTAATGATACCTTAATTAAAAAATAATAATAACTGTGGTTTGGTAAAGCAATATCTTCACAGTGTGCTCCCAGGAGATGACCACCTGAAGCATCACACCTTGCAACCTGGACATTTTGTCCACTGGAAAGGATGCCTCCAGAAAAACCTTGAAGCCTCCTGGAAAGGCCCTTATCAACTACTGCTAAGCAACCCTGGTGCCACCAAACCCCAGAAAATAGACTCCTGGACTCACGTGACACATCTAAAGAAAGCACCAAACCCCAACTGGACCTGCTCACCATCTAATGACCTAAAGTAAAGATCTCCCAGAACTGAAGTGGAGAACATCTGATGGGACAGCTTTCATGCCTGGACCAGGACTTTATACCTTTTTCTCACTGTTGCTTCTTCTATACAAAGGCATGCTCTTGCCTGCATTTCTCAAACCTTGTGAAAAGGGGAAACCTCTTCTTCTGATTATGACCTTTCAGAAACAGCTTCATCATAATTCTGTGACAAATTAGTCTTTTCACTTGTTTTTTCTCAATGGTTAGAAGGTTCGGAATTCACAGAGGTTCTTCTCTCATCTGAACTATTAACTGACTCTCAATTTGTATCCAAATTCATGGTCTCTGAATTTACAAACTTACAGGCTGTATTATTGGATAACACTTGTTCCCAAACAGTGTTTTTTGAGATAACAACACTATTTTTATATATCTCTGAAGTTTTACTGTTTTGCAAAAAGTTCATCAGTCATTGTTTTATGTTTATACCTACACTGTATCTTCCCAAATGCACATGGTGAATCTTTCAGTGTTCTCTGGCAGTACTTACTATTCTGCTTTCACAGCTGCTTTATGCATGGACTTGCAGGACGCATATACAACTCAGGGTTTGCCTCTGTAGGGGAGCTTTTCTCCCCTAAGTCAGAACAACTGTCAGTAAGTATTTTTACTTGGCTACTTTCGGACCTAGGGCTCTGGTTTAGAACCATCATATAATTTGGAATTGTTATGTTACTTTAATTTTGTACTTGTTGCCTATCAAACCTTTAAAGAAACAATGTACCCAATAAGGAGATGATTTCTAGTGCTTATAATCTTGACAAATATGGACTATAGATAGGAAATGCCTGAGAGTTCTCAAATGGGTTATTCAAATGTGACCTCAGCAGGTTTCCAGTCTGTACAATTTCCTTCCAGTGCGGGACATGACACCCAGGAAACGTCTTTCCTGGCACCAAGAGACAAAAGGCCACTGGATTAAGAAAGCCTGAATCTTGATCAGTAATGATTTTGGAGAAAGAACTTGGTCAAAAGGGGTAATGTGAAAATTCATAAGGGGCAATCTCACTAAAGTGGAGTTGGGAGGCCAGAAGGGGGAGACATGCCACTCAATTTCAATTCCAGGAAGGCTGTCAATTACAGACCCCAAGAGGAAAAGATGTACATTTCACCTCCTACAACAAATCTGCTACTCCAGCTACTGAGCCAATGAGAAACCATCATCATTCTGAACTCTTGTTTTTCTCCAAGGGACTATTATTCAAAACAACCCTCCCAATGTCCTTCTTCTCCATAAAATAATGTTCCTCTCTGTTGGATTCCCCTGTGGTTTTACCACAACTTGCATGCCCCAAATTGTAGTTCTCTGTTGATTCCTGAATAAACCTATTTTTGTTGGTAAAATAACCGTCTAATATTTAAAGTTAACAGTAGCTATGCTGTTTCCTGTTTAGGTTCATATGAAAGGTAAAAATGGTATTTCCTATTCTTGTTCTTATGTTTAGGAAAGGGCATGTAAGTAATTTCCAAAGGGTTTCTTCTGATGGCTCAGTTAAATAGTAGAAAATGGGATGATAGATGTTTCAAGTTAATAGGATAATATATTTTAGACACTTAAAATTACTTACTTTAAATTCCATTTTTTAGGATGTTTTAGCTCAATTTTCTTCCATTTATAATATTCTCCAGTGAACTTTTGATCTTCCAGCACTGAAAATAGAGCATTAAAAAAGAAGCTATGCATACATTCTTTTAATAGTAGCTCAAAATTTAAAATAATTCATTTCTCATTAAATTGATATGTGGTAATGATGTACACTGTATAGTCCAAGTCATATTACAATGCTCAGGCACTTCCCAAATGTTTTCCCTTTACTTGAACTTTGTAATATTGTTTGAAGTAAGTAGATTGTGACTTTGAAACTTTTAATTATAATGACATTTGTTTATATATCACTTACAGTAATGAAGACAGTGTTAAAAGAAGCCATATAGAAACTACAGACACCACAGATTAACAAAATTCTAATTTGGCACTTCAAGTGGCAAAATAAAATCCTGGAGTTGGAAGGAACATTACAGATGTTGATCTTTAACAAAACAAGAATCTGCAACAGATGACCATCCGGCCTCTAAATGAATCCCTTGCCAACAGCAGAAAACTCTCTTCTTCATTGGAAAAAAACTGCCTGCTCCGTTGACAGACAGTAAAGTCACAATGTTCCGCTTTAATCTGAGTGCTGAGTTTCTGCTGGTTCTAGTTCTGACCTCTGGAGCAATACTAAGTTCATCCCTTCCCCATGGGAGAGGACCTTTCTAATACTTGAAGATAACTCTCAAGGCAGCCTCAGTTGCTTCAACTTTTCCTTAAGATGTGACTTTCTAGAAGCCTAACCATTCTCATTATCCTGGTGGTGAACTTTGCCGAAGTTCCTACCAAGATGTGCATCCAGAACTGGCTCAAGATCTTGATTTCATCTGAATAGCAAAAGTGTAAGTGGGTTACTATTTCCCTCGATTGGTGTGCTACACTTCTATCGATTCAGCTCAGATCTCCGTTAGTATTTTCTGGAAATCACATTACAACACTGGCTCACATGTTTATGATTAATTGTAAGCCTTATGCCTGCAATCAAATTCACATGAAATTTATTGAAATTTTATATACATACATATACCCTATCATCTATCTTTCTATCATCTATATACAAATATCCACCTATCATTTCTCTATGTCATCTCCCTGTTCCTTATACTTGTCCTGGGTTTACAGTATTTAACTATTTAACCAACTAGATGTACTGCAGTAGTCTTGCCCTTATCTAGAACTTCCTTCTTAACAATGATTAATTAACCACTTCTAGCTTGATGAAATTCATCATCGATAGCAAAAATGTTTAAACTGAATAGTTGTTTTCTTCTATTGACATTACATAATTTTCACCTGCAATGTTCTTATCCATCCCTTAATTTCTTTTCTTCCTTCAAATATACACAAGTACACATACATTTATGTTCCTATAGGCTTTACTAATATTCTTTTTATTGGTACTTAGGCTTATACTCCTCCCTTTCATTAAGGAAGCACATCTGAGACTTTCAAAGCTCTTAATGAGATCTCATTATCTCCTTTAGATGATTGTAATAACTAATATTAATAAAGTTCTTACTACATACTTGGCAGTTGGCAGCGATTATCATGAAAATACCCACTTTACAGATGAACAGATATAGAAAGGTTGAGTAATGTCTTCTGAGTGGGACCATTTATTACAACTTAGACAAAATTTAAAATTTATTTGAGGTTTCTATTCAAGGATAATTCATAACTTCCTTCATTTTTTTGACATCTTTCCTACATCTTTTATTTGACTATATATTGTAGTCTCTTCCTTATATATTATGAAACTCCAAATGGCATGGTCATCTTTCCTAAATATTCCCATTTATTTTACATCATTGACTCATTTTCTTCATTGCTTTCTCTAATATCTAAGAAATGAAAAATGCCATAGTATTTGTGCAAACTTTTAACATTTCGTATTTTATCCCTCCAATTTTTTCACTCATCTGTCTCCTATCATCTGATCACAACTCTTCAAACAGATTATCATAATACTTATCTTCCTGTCTCCAACACACAGCCAACTGTCTAGCCATAGAAGACACTCAGTGAATGATTTGACTGGAGGGAAGTAAGGGGTGAGGCTGGGAGAGAAAGAGAGAGCGGAAGTAAGAGCAAACAAGAGGAGAGGACGAATGACATTTTTGTCAGAAGTTCTGGAAGCTGAAATTCCCCGTCAGTACCATATCTTGCCTTTGAGGCAGTTTTGTTGTCTGTGGTAGAAAATCACCCTCTACTGCCTCCATAATAGAATTGTGCTTCCTTCCCTTCTTCCTGTGCCTTAGTAGGCATTGCTTTTATTCTATTCTTTCCATGACACATCTCTTGTCCAACACCTATATAATTTTTCTGCAAATTATTTTTCCCGTTAGGAATGTCATATTCAAAGAAAGAGAATAGCACCAACTTGCTTTAGCATGTTTTATTTTTACACAGATTATATCATAGTAACCATAGAGTGACTTAAAATAGAGTAGATTGTTTTTGTCAATGAAAAGATGTGAAAAATGTGCTACAAAGAGTTAAATGAATAACCTAAATTCACTAAACTATGTGGCAAAGCTATGGGGCTAAGGAGTTTCTAACGTCTGACATCATGCTCTCCCGCTAGGTCTTTCCAACCTTGGTTGCACATTGTAATCACGTGGGGAGCTTTAAAAACTACTACCGCCTGGTCCTGCTCCCAGAGATCTTGATGTAATTAGTCTGGGGGTGTGCCCTTTAGATGGGAAAATTTATAAGCTCCTCTGGTGGTTCTAATGAGCAGTCAAGACTGAGAACCTCTGCATTAGAATTAGGTGATTCTACCTCTTGTGTCCAAATGCATTTTCACTGGCTCTATGACTCAAAGAACGAAAGTTTCCAGGGGCAAAAGCAAGCATCCACATGCTGCTTCAGGGTGTTGGGCTGTCTTGATGACAGCAAACAAACTTCAGGGAGCCTCCGCTCACTATTACAGGGTACACTGGTCTGAAGGAGTTCTTTTCCTCTAACATAAACATTTCCTTATGGGGATCATATTCTATCATTAAGGTGCTGCTGCCCGCAACCATATGTACTGGAGTGTTCTCTGCCAGACTTTTATTTGCCATTCTCTAGTGATGGACAGAGAATAGTGGCTCATCAGTACATGTTCCTGTATGATTGCCTATAATTAGGCTCTCATAAATATAATTATTGAAAAATGTACTGCACATACTTCAGAGTTCGAATTTAAATCTCAGGCTATACTGACATAACAACTTTATATCATGTGATGGAGGCAGTATAGTATAGTAGGAAGAGCAACAAGGATGGAGTCAGAGGATCTGTTTCAAGTTCCTGGGCACAACCTATCTGTTCTAATTAATAATAGCCATACTTATTGAACACTCACTATGTGCTAGGCATTGTTTTAAGTGTTTCAACCCTATGAGGTATGTGCTGTGATTATTCTCATTTTACAGGTGAGGATAAGAAACTTACCCAAAGTCACACAACTAGTAAATGGGAGAGCAAGGATTAAACCTCAACAACCTGGTTCCAGAATTTATATTGTTTACAAATATATGATATAACCTCTTTTATGTGTGACCTTACTTAGCTTCTCTTGGTCTTGATTTCCTTATCTGTAAAAAAGAGTAATAGTAATAATGCACTCATATGACAAGGAGTTAACATCCAAAATATATAAAGAACTCATACACCTCAGCACCCAAAAAACAAATAACCGATTAAGAAATGGGCAGAGGACCTGAACAGACACTTCGCCAAAGAAATTCAGATGGCCAACAGGCACATGAAAAGATGCTCCACATCACTAATCATCAGGGAAATGTAAATTAAAACCACAGTGAGATATCACCCACACCTGTTAGGATGGCTAACGTCCAAATGACAAGGAACAACAAATGCTGGCGAGGATGAGGAGAAAGGGAGCCCTCCTACATTGTGGGTGGGAATGTAAACTAGTTCAACCATTGTGGAAAGCACTATGGAGGTTCCTCAAAAAACTAAAAATAGAAATACCATTTGACCAAGTAATTCCACTCCTAGGAATTTACCTGAAGAAAACAAAATTCCTGATTTGAAAAGACCTATGCAACCCCTATGTTTACTGCTGCACTATTTGCAATAGCCAAGATATGGAAGCAACCTAAGTGTCAATCAATAGGTGAATGGATAAAGAAAAGAAAATGGAATAAAAAGAAAAGGAGTCCTCCTGTTTGCAACAAAATGAATGCATCTAGAGGGTATTATGCTCAGTGAAGTAAGCCAGGTGTGGTGGCAAATACCATATGATTTCACTTACTTCTGGAGTATAAAAACAAAGCAAAACAGAAGGAACAAAACAGCAGGGGATTCATAGACACCGAGAAGGAACTAGGAAGGGGATGGGGAGGTTGGGGGAGAGGGCAAAGGGAATAAAAGGGCACAATAATTCTCAATCACAATTTAAGTTGGTCACAGGGACAGTAGTACAGCATGGAGAATACAGTTAATGATTCTGGAGCATCTTACTATGTAGTAGATAGTGACTGCACTAGAGGGGGTGAGGATTTAATAATATAGGTAACTGTGGAACCACTGTGTTTTATATTTGAAGCCAACATAAGTCTATCAGTGATCTTTAATTAAAAAAATAATAATACCTAGCTCATAGGGTTGATATACCACTATGCATGGCATATATTAGATGTTCAATAAATATTGGTTGGTAAATGAATGAAAGAATGATAAGATTGGGATGCTAAAAAAACATAGTACAAAGTACACTCTGTAAACTGTATTATACAAGATTAAACTTATTGTTATCATGGCACACATGACTATGGATAGATCTGTGACACAAAAATATGGAAAAGAGTTAATATCCCAAATCAAAATATAACTGCTCATCACTATTCATAAAATAAAAAGCACCTAAAATATGCACAAGAATTTAATAATATTTCCAGTGATAAGAATGAACTGTAGAAAATGAAGTTATTAGAAGTTTCCCTTTTATTTCTGAGTCATTGAAGCAGCATTCTATAATCTAAAAAGCTTCATCTTTATTATTGCCAGGAAATTAGACTCTTAAAAAAAGATAGTATTGGATCTAATCCAGATGAATTTTCTAAAGGCAAAATGGCCAGCAGCACATGTAAGGTTTACATTCAATTTTTTTAATTAGGTGCTGGTTATTATTGAAGGAAAGCTCTTGGAACATTCTTATAATAAATCTCTGGGGGAGTAAGAGGCAGGGCGATTGTGAAATCTTGCACCAAGGCCCAGAATCCAAGTCTCAGATTTTCTTCCTGACTTGAGGCAGCCATTACCAGCTATTGCCTTCCCAAGGAGGGATGGATTACATATTAGGTTAGTGACAGAGGTAGAAACAAGAACCAAATCAAACATTTTCATGTCAACTCTTTGGAAGAAGAAACTGTAGTCAGTAGTGTTACATTATTTTCTCCCATTTTTAATTGTTCTTACTGCAAGATAATCATTTCCAAATTTCTTTAAGTTTTGGTATATACTTCTATTACTAATTTTTTTCTAGCAATTTGGAGTTTACAAGTGCCTCTATGTATTTGCACATTATTCCAAAAGGCACCGTCCTATGCCAATCGGTTCATTCCTGGTTGAAGGAGCGGATGCTGAGTGTGCCTAGAGCTCCCTGGAATGTGCCAGCTGCCTCTTGACATGGTTTGTGTTGAGGGTTATTGCCTTCTGGAACCCATCCGACCTCCTCACTGCCTCACACACAGAATGTACTTATGATGTGTTTCCTGAATTGACTGAGCAATGCCCTTTGAAATGAAGTAAACATTGATGTACTCTGGTATCAAAAATAATAAAATTATTTACACCGATAGAGTTATAAGAGGCTGTGTTTTTTAAAACATCTGGAATTATTTTTCTTAACTAATTTATGAGTGAGAAAAGTAATGTGTAATCCTATAATAAATAATCAACATCCTGAAAGGACATGTAATTTTTTAGAAGTTATTGATATAACTTATTTTTTTTATATTTATTAAGCTTAGTACAACTTCTGTCCTAATTTGTGCCTTAAAACTAGAAACTCTTTTTTTGTGATTTTTTGTTTTATCAAGACCTATTACAAGATTATCACAATGATGAGATGAAATTTGATGAGACCACAGATTAAGGCAGTAGTCATGGGGTGAGTGAGAGGAAACAGTTATAATGTAGGTGATAAAACTTACGAGGCTTAATGGAAGAGATGAAGAGGTCTAAGAAATGTATATGATTCTGGTTTAGCCGAGTAAATGCAATAATGGTGATCTACCACTAACCAGCAGAGGTAATAAAGGAGGGAAAATAGGTTTTGGGGCAAGATAACGACTTCACTTTGGGCCATCTTAAGTGTGAGATGCACGTCACACATGTGGGTGAGGTGTCCAGTGCACAGCTGTAAATACATGTACAAATTCAGAAGAGGGCCTGGCTAAAGGTGGAGAGATGAGGCTTTAGGAATTACTGGCAGGTAGGCTAATGAAAATCAAGGCAGTGGATGAGCTCTCTAAGAAACATGAATGAAGAAGTGAATAAAGAGAGATTTTGCTAAGGAATGAGGGAGAGGAGCACTTAGGAAGGAAGGAGAAAAACCGTGGATGGATGGTGTCACCTAACTCAAGGAAAGCATAGCTGATGAGAATGCAAGGAAAATAAAGACGAAAATGTAATACCTGAACTTGGGAATTAGGAAGTCACTGGTAATGTAAAAATGTAGCATTTTGGTAGGATAGCTGAAGCAAAGTCATATTTCAGCAAGTGAGTGAAGACTGGATAGTCTACTTTGACCCAAATAGTGAAATAGTATTCTAAAGGTTTCATTAAATGGGACCAGAAAGTTGTCCTACTCTCCCCTTCTGCTGTTTTCGTTCCTAATATATGACGGCAATGGATGATTTTTTCTGTAGACTGATAGACTGAAAGGCATCCATTCATATGTTTTCTTATTGTCTTTCTACTTAATATTTTCTCTGGCTTTGAGGATAACTGTTTAGAATCAAAAAGTTTCCTCTTGCTCTGAAAGATTTTTTTTGGTTAGAGGGAGTAAATTAAACCTCTTAAGACTGAGAACTTTGCCTTATATTCCTATAATTGCCTCTCTTTCCTTCTGGCTTTTAATCAGACTTCAGTCGAGGGCTCTATACAAAAGAGGAACTATATTAATAGTTGTTGAATGATTAGCATATAGAGCCAACAAAGAAGTTTATCACCCTCAAATTGCAAATATATGTCAATTAATCATTGAAAGCAAGACAAGCTGATATTAATTCAGAGATTAATATATATCAAAAGGACATGGGATAAAGCTAGATCACCTTACATGGACTTCTGTAATATTCTGTGGCTTTTGATGTGGCTATTCCAGATCATGTCTTGTAGTAATCATGAAATGAGACAGCTTTAATTGATCTGAAAATGTAAATTAAAATGAGACAATGAGTAGTTTCCAAGTTTGCTTTATAAAATTCTTTTTATCAGAGTGGACTGTTTCAGATAACAATATCTTGTTACAAGACATTAAACTGACTTGCAATTTCTAAATCATTTCACTAATACATACAAATCACAAAAAAGAAAATCTGCCCAAATTATTCTTCAATAATAAATGTAAATCTGCACTTGTGTCCATTATAAAAAGAAAAATGTAGGTTTTAGATATCTGCCTTTCATGACTAACATCAAAAAAGAACTTTAAGGGAAGCATCATACCTGTACATTTTCTCTTTCTACAATCAATAATTTTCTTAAATTTCTATGCCAAATTTTAGTAACATTACCTTTATCTCCTTTTTATTATGAGGAAAAATAAAACACCAGAATTGAGATTAGCTTAATTTTTACACAGGATTTGGTCATTTTCAGAGAGGGCAAAAAACCCATCTGATATTCCTACCTGAACTTTCCTTCCCTATGCTAATATTCCTAGGTCTTAATGGGAGAACAAAGATTGTTACAAAGTTGTAAACAGGACCTATGCAACAGTTTCTTAACTGCATCTCCAATTTCCATTCCTACCAACTTCTTGAACACAGAAATTCTCAGAACTCTACAAGCAGATCATTACTTTGCGATATTTTTCAGACATGTGAAATCACCCAGTTAACTGGCTCAGATGCTTAAACATCAAATGGAAAAGACTTTGGTCTGTCTGCCATTTTAAGTTTTTTGCTCTTAGGAGGAAGAAACAACTTTTTCATTAGAACAAGTATACTAGCATTACTTTTTATAGGGAACTTATAGGCACTGTAAAGTAAACATTTGACTCAATTTTGAAACTAATGGGGCAATATCTAAATGTGTTAATGCATTCATTTTTGAAAATGATAATTACAGACACCTAATTTTAAGGCTAACGTTTTTCAAATGTGTTATTACTTTTGCAATCACACTCTAGTAGAAATCTGAAACTTGGTGAAGATTAATTAATCACTACTATTATTGCTTCCAGAGCTACATGCAGTGCTTTGTGCCACTAAATGATATACTAAACTAACATTAATTTGCCAGGGAAATGTTTTGGCATTTGGCAACAGAGGTAACAAAATGAAAGGCTGTATTATATCTCCTGCATGAAAAAGCTTGTGATCAGTTTGCTGTCACAGATCATTTAACAGACAACAATGACCCAAGAGGAAGGAAACTGTCAACACACTGTCTCATGAAAAAAATACACCATCTTCAGGCACAATCGTCTCCATTGTTTTTTGTCTGTTTGAAGGTGACCCATGACCCTCTCCCTTCCCAACGGTGCCCTGTTCAATTTCAAACTGTTAGCCTTCAGGGGATTTCTTTTCTTCCCCCAGATTAATTAAAAATATTATCCTAGAAGGTAAAATTTTAGTATGTAGTTTGAATATATAAAGCAGAATGTCTTAAACATTTGGAGATATTTGCATTTTCAATATTGTAAAGGAAAGGGCCCTTAAAATAAGGGTAACTATTTTACTATTATTCAGATAAACTGCTAAATTGACAGGGCTATGTACAGTATAAAAATACATGTGTTTATAGTTTCAACCAATAATAGGAATTTATTGAGTACTAGTATTGGAATTATGAATATGAAAAAGTAGAAGATTTATTTAAAATGGAACATCAGAGCTTATTATCCAGTTGGGAAAATAAAATATATACCTAAACTAGTAAACAGAATAGCTTTGTATGTTCACAAAATAAAGTATTACATCTTTTAACACAGATATTTGGTGTTAAATGACAGATACTGCTTTGACAGAGGCAGTAAGAGAAAAAGTTGGAAAAGGGAGATGTAACTTTGTTTTGGAGTCATTAAGGAAAAAGTCACTTGGGATATGGATCTGGAATAAAGGAAGGAGGCATTTTAGGCAAACAGTATTAGCAATAGCTCAGATAGGAAGGAACATGGTGTATGCATGTGACATGCAGAAGATGTGGAGGAGAGAGTTGATAGTAACAGGATAATTGAGTAGAGTGGAGAGTTCTAGTTTTAGGAGTTAGAATTTCGATAAAATCAGTGAAACTAGGCAGTGTAGGGTCTTCAGATGTAGGCAGAGAATGGGTTAGAGATGATGCACTAATCTTGATTTATCAGGTGATAGAAAGGAGTCAAAAGTTCTAGAATAAGGCAAGTAAATTATGAAATAAGTGTCTAAGCTTTTTTCTGGCATTAATACACAGGTGGATTATATGAGAGAGTAAATTCAGGGCACCAAGTTAAGAAGCAAACGCAGCAATTCAGGCAAGAGACACCGGAGCTAATGCTGCAGTGCAAGCAGAGGTTGAGAAGGGGAGGAGGTGAAGCTACGACACTGCTGAAGAATTGGCTGGAATGGCTGCCTGACAGGGTGTGAAAGGTGAAGGAATCTGAGGGTCAAATACTCTTCTCAAGCCCAGAAGACCAGCTAGTTTTGCTATTAATAGAAAGCATCTAAAGAAACTGAAGTAAAATATGAGTTTCATTTTAAACATGGGTTTTAGGTGATGACCTTTAGGAGTGTGATTGAGAAATGGAGGCTGGAAATAATAGATTTGGGTCAAATCAACATAAAGGTTGATAGATGATGCCACTAGGGAGAACAAACTCCAAGTAAGTAAGTGTTTAGAAAAGAAAAAGCAAAAACCAATTCATAGTTAAGAGGAGCCAGTGAAGGAAACAAAGAGGATCATTAAGGGCAGAAGAGAATCATGATAGTGCTATTTCATGCAACTTCCCAGCCATAACTAAAGCCTGATGATTAAATCCCTGCATATCTCTGGATATTTAACCGTGTAATATCATGATTAAGGGTAAAGGCTTTGGGATCACCTGGCCTGGGTTAAAACTCTCTGGCTACTTACAATGTGTGACTGTGGGCAAATTACCTAACTTCTCCACTCCTGTTTCCTCATCTACAAAATAAGAGAGAGAACTTTCTGCAACAGTTTTTGTGAGCATTCAATGAAATCCAAGGAAAAAGCCAACTAAGGGGCTTGACATCACTTAGGACTCAGTGTCAGCTGGCTGGCCTCTCAATTGCCTTAGAGAAGTACCCCATCATTTCTCTCTTTCAAACTCTATAGACAGCTTCCTAATTGTTTTTCTTTATTTTTTATTATTTTATTATCTTTATAGACATTTTATATTGATGTAGAGTTGATACACAGTATTAAATTGGTTTCAAGTATACAACATAGTGATTCAACAGTTATCTACATTATGAAATGCTCACCCCACATACAGTAGTGAAGTTACTATCTGTCAACATAGAAAGATGTTAGAGAACTACTGACTATATGTTGTACTTTCATCCCTATGGCTAATTTATATTATGATTGAGATTTGTTTTTCTATCTCAATCTCTCCCTATTCCAGGCTATGAAAACCACACTCACTTGAAAACCCCATTTGGTTATCTCATTTTATAAGATGGCATCTAAACAACTTCAAATAACCAAACGTGGTTCATCATCTGGCCATTTCTAACCATTTCTACCACCATTCATCTGCACATGCCAAGGCCCCATCACATGGGCCTTCCTGATGATCCTGCATATACCACAATATTGCACTTCTTTATCTGGGCAAGCAGTTCTACCGAGAGAATCTTTTGCCCTCTGTGCCAGCCAAACTCTAACTTATCAAGGTTCCTGTCCAATAAAAAACTATTTTGCATATGGAGGTTGTCACAGGCTTCCCCAACAACGATTCCATTCTTCCATCATGTACATGCCATTTGGTCTGAATGACCCCACCCCGTCTCTAGGTCAGGGCCTGGTGGGTTTAGGGCTCTCTGACCAATGTAACCAGTTCAGGGACAGGAACTGGACCTAATGAAATCCAATCAGAGTGAAATTTCTTCAAACTTCCTAGTGCATCTTGATATCTAGGAGTGTCAGTCCTCTTCATTCTTCTTAAAGATTACCTTGTTATCCTAAATCCTTTCCATTTCTAGATGCATTTTAGTATCACCTTGATAATTTCCAGAAAAAAAAAAACAACTGCTGAGATTTTGATTGAGATTAAATTGAATCTATAGATGAGGTTGCGAAGAAGTGACATTGTAATAATATTGAATCTTTCCCATGTCACAAACCTTGTATATGCTCTTTTACAATTTCCACCAGATATATTTTGTGGTTCTCAGTATAAATGTCTTATTCATCTTTTATTACATTTTGATGCTATTGCAATGTTATTTTCTAAATTTCACTATGTACTGATTGCTAGTATACAAAAATATAGTTGACTTTTTAAATACTCATTGTGTATCTACCTTGCCAAACTTAGTTATTACTTTTCAAGCTTTGTATATCACTTGGATTTTACTAGGCATAAAATCTGTCACCTGTGAATAAAGATAGTTTCCTTCATCCTTTCCAAACTTTATAATTTCTATTTCTGTTCCTGGTCCCATGGCCCTGGCTAGGACCACTAGTACAGTGTTGAATAGAAGTGGTGTTACTAAACTAGGAGAAAAGCTTTCAACATTCCACATTTAAATGTGAGATTGGCTGTTAGATTTTTGTAAATTCCCTTCATTGGAAAAAGGAAATTCTCTTCTGTTCCTAGTTTTCTGAGAATTTTTATCACAAATAAGTGATTCCTTTTAGCAAATGCATTTTCCGGATTCATTGAGATAATTTCATAGTTTTTTTCCTTTATTTGGTTAACTTGGTGAGTTACAGTGATTGATTTTCAAATTTTAACCCAATTTGACTTTCTTCAAATAAAATCCAGTTAGTCATGAATGTATTATCCCTTCTTATGTGTCAGTGGATTCAATTTACTAATATTTTGATTAGGATTTATGCATCTGTGTTTATAAAAGGTATCGGCCTATGAATTTTCTTTCATGTAATAATCTCAGATTTTAGAATCAGAGTTTGGAAGTTTGGAAATACATCCATTTTCTCTATTCACTGAAAACATTTGAATATCAGTTTCAAAATTT